GTCGAGTAGAGTGACTCCAGATCAGGTCACCGTGGAGTCGCTACCAGGCCAGATGGCGTGCCGTAGTGGTGACGGAGTTGCTGGCAGATGGAGCGGGGCAGCGTGCATGGACCGGCCGCTCTTTCCTCGAGTGGTGCTCGTGCCTTCCAACCTCATCATCGGTCAACAACACAGCGGGAAGTCGCCATGGCGAGAGTCGCACAAACACGACCACGTCAGACGGCTGCTCTGCTCGACAATCTATCTCACGACCGGCCGCTTGACCGCCAATGGCGCCCTCACCACCACAGAGATTGTGCTGCTATTTAGCCCGGCCTCAGTCGTCGCCGAGTGCGAGCCATCCCTGTCTTCTCCACACGGCCACTGCAGCAGCGGCTTGCAACGATGGTACCAAACAAGGACCTCTTGCGCTCATCAGCAACACCGCTGGGCGCGGGGAAGAGGAGTGAGGTAATCGATATGCTGCTGCCGGACCGTCCTGAGTACTTTGCTCGCCGTGGGCCTGGATGCCTTTTCAACCCAGGCTCCGCTCCGCATTCAAGCCAAGCTCTTTCTCCAGCCGCCTGACGCAGCGCCAGTATCACTACAAGCCACAAGCGTTTGATCAGAACCGCTCTGCCACAGCCTTACCACTTACGACCTATAGCAGCACACATGGCCTGCCAAGCGCTTCGGCCTTACGAGTTGCCTGACGTGTTGATGCTGTAGGCGGAACACGACCCATCCGAACGTACTCGTTTCGCCTGTCTCACAGCGTCGTCATCTGCACTCTTGTGTGTTGCGAATCATCTCCACTCACCGTCTGCTCGGCCCTATTCACATGGAGCAGATTCGTAGCAAAGTGTCTGAGGCATCGTCGTTGAGAGGTGCTTCAAAGCTCGTTGCCAATGTTGTTTGTCTCTGCAATGGGCGACCGCCGGCGCACAGTCCCCCCCGCAGCCTGTCACAGCACGTTCTGCGTTAGCGCCCGCCGTCGCTTCGGCACTGGTCGCTGCTTGTTTCCAGCTTTCCAAACATTGTCAAACCTCGCGCTCCGTCAAAACTGCACCAAGTCCGACGCGCGCGGTTTTGAAACTGCCCCCGTGGGTCCCGATGAGGCTGAGGACCTTATGCATCCCGCTCTAGATCTTCAGAGCCCCAGGCAGCGATTTCGTATGCGTCTTCATGTCCGTTCCACTTCCGGCTTAACATGTCTCGTGTCAAGGTTCTTCTAAACATTTTGGCTGCGAACACCGTCTTTGCCCCATGATGCCGATCAGGAATCGAGTTGCAGAAGCGACGGTTTGAAAACGTTGCCAATCTCAGAAACTGCCACTGCTAATCGACCTGGTCTGTGACAACTGACCGACCCGTTTCTTGACCTCTGTCCAAACTCTATAACTGCCCGAGTGCCCCAAGTTTCGAGGCTTCAACCGCATCTGTTCAATCGGCATCTGTCTTTTGTTTTTTAGCAGCCTTGTAATACTCTCTTTTACTTCCCACTGGTTTGGGCTGCACTACATTCACTTAATCAACTTTACCAACATTGCTGAGCAATTACTTTTTTACCGACACACCGTGTAATACTTTCTTTTCAGAGCCAGCCTCGATCACGACGAACAGACATCCCTAGTGGACACGAATCAACGACTTCTTCTACGCCAAGTACTCCAATCAGCAACATCAACATCAACATACTATCAGCTCAGCAACACAACGATTACAACATGCTTCACCACCAGCCCCAGATTCTCTCCCCTCTTCCTGAGATGAACTCTCAGTCTCCTGACCCTTCCAGCCTCCGCGCTAGGAAGATGTCAGCCGGTGGTAACAGGTCTTGGTCCGAAGAAGAGGTATGTTGACCAGTTGCACTCATCACCATCCACCATATACTTACAATATCTAGGAGAACTACCTTCTTCAGACCCGTATGCAAAAGATGCCTTACAAGCACATTGCAGCTCACCTCAAGAAGACCGAGCTTGCATGCCGCCTGCACTACCATCAGCTCTCGCACGGTAGCCACCGCCGCAAGCGCAACAACTCGGTCTCTTCCAACGCCTCTTGCAGCTCTTCCGGTACTGCTCCGGTCTACTCCATGACTATGGATCAGGACGCGTACTCTCAATCGTCCCGCCACAGCTCGCCCATGAGCTACACTGGCAGTCCCCATGTCCGCGCCAACTCCATCACCACCTCTCCCGGCCGCTCCCAGCACAAGATCCTCCTTCCCAAGCCCCGCACCCTTACTCCCCGTGGATCCCCAGAGCCTTACAACGGTCTCCGTATCAACACCGAAGTGGCCCACCAGCCCAAGATCGTTGACACTGACCGTCTCCGCTCCATCTACGAAGCCCGCCGCCAACAGTTCTGGGCTACCGTCGCTGCCGACTACGGTGCGGATGTTTCGCCCGCCCAGCTCGAGGAGATCTGGCGCAACGGCTCCAACGCTGTCCGCCCTCCTACTCCCGATGCCTCGCCCGATGGTAGCATCATGCACAACCCCATGTTCAAGCCCTCTCCCTTCCCGAGCTACATCTCGCCCGCCCACAGCGAGCAAGCCAAGCACTACAGCCCGATGAACCCCATGAACATTAGCGCCGTTTCAGCCCCAGAGCGCATGCCTTACGTTCTGCCCATGCCTGTCCCTTCCTCTGGCCGCCCAAGGGCTGGTACGTGGAGCTCTGCGCCCAGGGACAACATGCCCATCGCTAGCCTCCTCAACGACGATAGGAAATAAATGTCCATTATCATCACATTCCTGTACTTGTTAGATCACTTCCTGGGTCGTGGCATTAGGCATGGGAATGCGGTTATGGCATTGGCAAATGACTCTTTCTCTCCTCTTCTCTACTTTCGTTAATTCGCTATTCAATCAACCCTTTTCTTCACATTACTGTCTTAACGTCCTCGGTGGTATATGTCAAGAGCGGTATGGTTTAGCATGGCATATGAGACACTTGATGTTTCGGATCTTTTACTCAGGCGTTCAGCATTTGGAATTTTGGTCTTGGCGCATAGCATCAACGGGTATCTGGGCGCTTCACTTTTTGAAGAGTTTTGCGGCATTGTTCTACGCGGTAGATGGTAGCGGTAGTCAATACAGAAGAATATCCACATTACTAGTTCACATTGCTCAAGTCACTTCATCATGGTATGGACTTTCAACGAGCATACCCTTGACGACCACATGTTCCTGACATTTCGCTTACGCCTGATATGTGCCTAATACAGGCGGTTAAGCGAGCATGTCAAACACGACTTCTGCTCCTTTACCTTTTGTGAACTTCCTCTTGTCCGTAGTATTACTGATATCATATCAGAGGCATGTTAAGACATTTGAGCCTTGGACATGAAGATATTCGCAAAATCTGGAGTTTGATCACAGCATCAATGACAACGTAACCTTTTCCACCTTCGCACACTCGAGCAACGAACTCCTTGCGCACAATCAACCTCTTACTCACATTTACCCGCTGATGAGCTGATTCCTCGTCCAGATAACTAATCTGACAGCGGCAGCCTTGCTTCCAAGGCCCGCCCATGACATCCACCGGTGCCGAAAACCCCAGGCACCACATCACGGAACTTACCAAGCGAACGCGAACGCGCCTCTGAACTCTCTGTCCTTTTTCAACTAGCATACCGTTGTAATCGTCGGATGATTTCCTTCTTTACCGCTGCCGTTGTCGCTGCCAGTGCCGGTGGGTGCGGTGAAGCCTGACTGGTCGCGTGTTTGGTAGGTGAAACGTTTGGTACCGCACTAGTTGCTCTTTGCGCGGCACAACGGTTTGGTAACGGTGGGCGTGGGCGGCAGATGCACCTGTCAAGATCGTGTGTGTGCTTGTAGATGGCGATTTCGCTTTGACGATGTTCGCACACGACGTGGTCGGAGTGCGAAACGGCAGAGTGGGAAGTTGACGTGATGTTGGTGGATTTCGCACACGTAAGCAGGGGTGCATGCAATACACGCGTGTGTCGTCTTTGGCGATGTGCATATAGACAGCCTCGTCATAGACCGGAGTAGGACCATTGAGAATTCCAAATCACAACCGTCTTACTAAGAGACTGCGACGGGTTTGCGAGAGAGAGCAGAAAAATCGGCATCCCGTGTTCCTATTCTTGTGTGCTGGTCTGACGCTCGACCCCATGTCAGCCCTGCGCATCTCCCGCCCATCCCGCGAACGTCATTTGACTCGCATCCCACCGATCCTAACGCACAACGCCACAGCCCGTCCATCCGTCCAACTAGACGGCATCCCAGCCATCTACAAGTTACCAGTGCTCTGTTGCTAATTTCCCGATATTCATGCCTTGCTGCCTTACCCTTCCTCCATGATCCCTTTCCTGTGGCCCCCCCCTGCAAACACGCCATCTCATCGACCAGAGATCCTCCCTCAATCCCCACCACACCCCCCCTGGCTTGGAACCAAACGAGTCAATTTCCATGTCCCCGGTCAGCGCATATGCCGAAGTCCTAATGCAGATCTACGCTCCGGCAAGTGTCAGGGATGTGCGTTGGATTCCGGTCCAGTGGAGTCGGTCAGGGTCGCATTGGCGGTATTCATGCGAACTGGGTTTGAGACCTGGTGGAGATCTGTGAGCGCCTTAGTTTCGAGGCGCATAACTGTGGCGTGTGAGCGATGGATGCGCGCGATGGATTCGCTCGCATGCCTTGTAGGGCTGATAGAATCTGTGTATGCATGGCTGAGGGGGGAAGATGACGTCGCAGGCTGAAGCCGTGGGTTCGGCCATATCCGCGACATGCATGAGTGAGGGGTTCTGGAAGTGTGACCGAAGGTTTGGTGGTGCATAAGGCGATAGGAAAGCTTGCGTCGGTGTAGTCGCCTAATGCGTGTGTAACGCGTGACTCCCAAAGGATTGTGTCGGACCGTAGAGTCGTTGGGTCAGCTGACTCTCGTGACTGTATCAACGTAATCGTTGTGGCTATCTGGGGTGATGTTTGGCCGACAGTACTCCCGAGGGGACCACGGCTGCACTGTGCTTGCGGCCCTTCTTCATCAGGGGTTGGACTCTGCGACTGTCTCTCCCGCCCCTTCCTGACCAGCCTCGTTGTCTGGTTGCGACCCTCTCCTGTCCTCTGGGTCTTGGTCGCCCTTTCCACCATTCTTTTGTTGCTCGCCACTTGATTCAATGTCATCTCTTAGCTCTGCCTCTTCTTGTGGGTTCTCTGTGCCCCTCGAGCTGTACTCTTGATCCATACGATGCATGAGCTCTTCGCCAGGTAGAAGAATGCTTCTGTCGATCGCTAAAGGTAGTCCACGATGTCTACCTCGTAGCATCGCAGCCATCAGAACGACTTTGCTTAAGCTTGCAAAGTCGCCACACAGGCTGGTATTCTTGCCCGGTACACCGAGGCTCAAGCCGACAGTGCCATATGCCGATGTGACTTCGAATAATATCGAGAAGACGCTGAATCCTGGCGATGCGTTGAGAATGTGACCTCGCTCAATGATACATATGAGAAAGAAGACAAAGAACTGGAACCAGATGTCGTAGGCGAGCTGCTTTTGCAAGTGTGATGCTACGCCAGCAGCACTGCTGTCATTCTCTTCCAGTCCGATCGATTTCTCCTCGTACGTGTTCGTCTTCCGCAGTACCAACGTCATGGGATAGATGGAGATGTACATGATGACCAGATAAGCCACCAAGCATGCAGGTGCCAACGAACTCATGTTGATGATGTATGCGCCGCTAGTACGTAGTCCGCTGGCCATGAAGAGTCCGTCTACTACTCTAGCGCCAGTGGATAGAGCTTCGACATCTGGCATGCCGATGTTCAATATCTCGAAGCAAAGCCAGGCAGTGATATCGATGCCGAGCTGAACAAGAAAGAGGTATACTGTCTCGCGCTTGGGGAAAAGGTATATGAAACAACGTCGCGGATGCTGTAGAAGGAATTGCATCGTATTCCTGATACGAGACTCTTTTGGCAGTATCTTCTTTAATACCCATATCGTGATGCGGAGTAGAATCGGGAACTGCGTCTGACCAGCGAAAGCCAAACAAGCAGCCACAAGTAGAACATACGCATTACCACTGAAGGGAACGAAATTAGCGTTGAGTACGTTGAGTCCACCATTGGAGAATTCCGTCACCGTCGCAAAATATGCCCACCATCCTGGGTTGATAGCACCGGGCTGCTCTTGATACAATGTGTTCTTGGTATCGTCGCGATATGCGTACGGTATCAGGAAAGTGATACCAAGCAGATACCAGAAGATCTGATAGCCCACCAGGATAAGCAACAGAGCTTGGAGTGCACGATATTCCACACCCCCAAGTTCCATGCGATCTCGCTCACTGAGCTCGCGGAACCGACCCTTGGAGTCGAGATGCGGTTTGAAGGAGACGTAGTCGTGTTTCTCGGGTTTCAACTCTGTCGAAAAGCGGTCCAGCATGCGGCTGAAAAAGTTGCGCGCGGACTTCATTTCCCAGGGTGTTGGTATGAAGCCGAATCCAGTCTCGTAGTGATATGTGCGTCTTCTAGACTTGGGATACATCTTTGCTTGCTGCGGCTCCTCGTTTTCTTCTGCTGCTTTCTTTCCTGTCTGGCCTTGTTTTGCATTCGGTCGCTGGCGCAAGCTTCCGGTACTGCTGCTGCTTTCGTTTTGATCTGAATGGCTGTTTTCGATATCTTGTACGAGTCTTTGCATTGTGTGTGAATGTTTGACGACATCTGCCATCTTTTTCCGGAATAGTGCTCTTCTGATGAGTACCACAGCTGTCGATACAAATGGTATGTTGCCGATCATTAGCAGCACGGCGAAGGTCGCTTGCTGGAAGCCGGACATATCTCCGAGGTCTACCGAATTGAGCCCTGCATCGATTAGTATTCGGCTCACACAAGCCTAGCAGATGGGGGAGACACTTACCTGTAGTTGTCATAGCACTGGTGCACAAGAACAGCGCGTCAGTGTACGTCACATGCGCATCTCCATACTCTTTGGGTCCATCAGCAAGACCCTGCCCGTAAACAATAACCGAGGAGATCGCAATAACGACGACAAAATACAGCATATGCGCGCGATAAAAGTTCAACTTCAGCACCTCCTCTTTCAAATACTTCAAAAAGTCATCTTTGGCCTGACGCGGGTTGCGCAGCTCCTCAAGCGGGTCGTGCATCGCGTCGTTGTCGTCGAGCGGCAACCACGACGAGCTCATTCCGGCTGCAGTTCGCAATGTATATACTTTGCGGTATTTGTCCAAGACGCGTACCAAGAGAAAGCGCGGATCAACGTGGCAGATCTGGATAGCGCAACCTTGTCAGAAGTAGGCTGTGTTTAGCTGCGCTGCCCAGGCATTTTCGCGAGGGATGATGTCACTGACCCTCAAGCACGAACCTTATCGCGCGTGGGGAACGACGCATCATCGTGGACGCGACAACATTGATCTTCAGGTCCGCGACGTTCTCAATTGGCTTGAGGTACTGAACGGTGAGGAGTTGGCAGATTGTAAGTTGTTTCCGTGCCGGTCCGGAGATGTTGTGATAAGAGCCTGGATTTGTCGTGCGATGAGGTTCGTCCCTGGTACCTAGGTATATTACTAGGATCATCCATATCGAACTCCGTCTGATGGGCTTATATGTGCGTTGTCACCGCCTCCTACGTTGCATTCTGTATTCCTTGTTGTGATCTCGAAATGCTGGATGAGCACAATTCGATCGTACGTTGGAACGCGGTGTATGGAAGGACACGTTATGATGCTGAATTGGAATTGACCGAGACAAACGTACCTACTAAATCTATGAAAGAACTATTTACCCAAATGCGTAAACTAGCTCGGCATCACGTTGCGCAAAATACCATACTGGAGTTCTACTACCACGCCAACACACTTCTACTCTGAGCACATGACAACCTTACCCTCCTCAAACACCACACCCTTCTCCCTCATCTCCTTCTCTTCCTCCTTACCAATCACCCTCCCCTCCCCATCAACCCTCTCAAACACCACCCCCACCCGACTCAACTTCAGATGACCCCACATCCTCGCCGACTCACTCCAACCCCCCAACGCCCCAAAACACGCACTGATTCCCACGATCCGCTCTCCACCCACCGCCTTCCTCACGAACCAATCGCGCATATCCGGCTCCCCGAAGTAGCCAACCCGACCACTCTGCGTAACGAGTTTCAGAGCGCGGTACTGCTGCTCGACGTGGACTTCAGTGATGTCTTCCTGGTTCAGTGGGAATGTGACGGTGTTTTGTAGTTGGTAAGGGTGTGGACCGCCGCCTATCTTATTCATATCTTGCCATGCGGCTTTGAGGGATTCTTGGAGAGGCTCAGTCATGTCGTGCGCCCATTTGGGGGATTGACATAGGACGGGTCCGCGAGAGCCGACGCTGCGGCCGCGATTACCCCACATGTCGTGCGGGCCGGGGTTGATGCCGACGATATCGATACCGGTGTGGAGTTGGTAGGACGGTGGCGACGTGTTGGTTGCAGGAAGAGAGCTGGGTAGAGCGGTCGTTGCGGAGCTTGCGCTGGTCGATTGCATGGATTCTTCGGTCGAATCGTGAGGCATGGAGATACTCGTTGCAACGGGCTGAAAGCATTCAATACCTGTGTTTTTCTTGCTCCACATGAACACATCGTTGGGCATCATATCCTCGGGGAGTTCGTATGGTATGGGGTGAATGGGAGTGGGGAAGGACTCGAAATGGATCGTAGGATGCGCCCAGACTGAAGCCTGTTGAGGATACCTTTGACCAATACGGTCGTAGGGTAGCGATGATCCAAGCTTTCCCCATGCCATCTGCTGAACGGATGTGTATCGCGGCTGAGCGAGTGGTGCTGAGTCCGGTCTGCATGCTTGAAGAAGACCGAGACGTGAGATAGCTCCATTCTTGCAATGAGGTCAGTAGATGCCTGTAGAGTAGCGCAGACGGCTGCAGCATTTGGCAACTCACCGGAGCAATTTGACCCGTCATTCCTACTAAATGCATGCCATCCAACACTTGAAACGGCCTCCGTACACCAGCGTAACTCTGGTGCAAGCCTTTTTTTCTCCCACTATTCAGTGTCACCTACTTCTAATTAGTATAGTTTTCTTCGGAGATGGTGAGCCCAGCGTACAGAGATACCGCTGATCATAGCAGTCTTGGATGGCCAAGGATCCTCAGGCTTCCCATGAGGCCCGGTCTGATTCACAATATCTTCGATACAGCAGACGATCTCCTTGATCCACTCCCCACGATCAAGATGAAACGGAAGTCCAGTAAATCCATCAGAGCTGCCAAAAAGTCTTGTTTGGTCACCCAAGGTGACGGAGATGCCCACTAAGTAGTCGTGGCTGTTGTTAATCTGGCGCCAGTAGGTGTCCAAAACGCAAGCACGATGAGTAATCTCATTCCAAGAGTGAATAAACTGTGCCGAAAAGGTCTCGGTCTGAGCTGGCGGGGGATACATGGTCATGGGCATGTGCAAGCATGCGGAGCTGTCTAGAATCGCCTTTGCTTCGTCCGAGTCTGCCGGCTCAGCGGGCTCGACCGGCCCAGTTGCTTTCTTGTAGAGCGAGGCTACTGGCTGGCAGCAGCCCCAGATCCGGCGTCGATTTGCTATGTGCATGAGGGGTCCCTGGATGCCGAACCTGGGACGAGTCGATGAATCCACCCAGAGAAAAAGACCTTTGTAGTCGAGCGCATCGGTGGTCGCAGTCTCCACGAAGTAACGCAACTCGTAGAACCATGGCAATACACGCATGCGTACCATATGTTTCCAGAATGCGGCTTCGCGAGTGACGCTGTTGACGTGATGCGAAGCTTGCATGAGCGAAAGCATGTCTTTGGAGTTAACATATCCAAGGATTTCGAGAAGCAGGTCGTACGGGAGGACTGCAATTGGATCCGTTCGCACCTTGTGCGCTAGATTTGCCAACTGCGGACTCCCACCGAAAATGTTGGCGGGTAGGATGTCTTGTATACTTTCTTGGAGAGCAGGTCGGGGGGAAGGATCGCACACTTCATACTCCGATCCCGCTCCATTATGCCAAAATTGCTCGTTGCCCGAAAAGACCTGATAGTCCACATCCAAAACTGGTCTTTCGTTTGCAAGAAGAGCGCTAAACGTTCTCAACATCACATGCTTATTAATATCTCTGCTCTCAAGTCCTATGCTCTTTGCGAGAATGTCGAAGCATGCCTCGTGGAATGGAAAAGCTTGTGGTTCGTCCCCACTCGCGTAGCTCGTGATGTTCAAAGAACCTTCGCCCGGATCATTGGGATCTCTTCCAGGCCCTTCGATATCTAGAGAGCCATAGTCGTAGTAGCGGCCTCTACCGGATATGTAGGCTTTCCGCTCGGGATTGAGTGCCAGTGCGCGGACCCGATTAATCCATTTGACGTCGTCGAGTCCGATGAGTCTAGGATCAAAACTGTTGTCCTCAGTGTTCTCGGTGCTGGCATAATTTTCAAGACCCCACTCTTCGCTAATGTCCAACTCGGGATCTTGCGACCAGCTTCCATCATCGACTTCTTCCACAGGCTCAGGCTCGGGGGTACGGGGTCGAAGAGCGACGTCAAGAATCTCGGATGATCTCGTAAGTAAGTCGGAGTCGTTGCTATCAATCGATTGTGTGCCTTCGAAAGAAGAATCCGAGGAATATTCGTAATCCGGATCTGCATCGTCTTTCTCCTGTTCTTGCTGTTCGATGCGTTGGTTCTCAACGACCTCCGGGTCGATCGCGTCCTCCATCTCTTCGTCCTCATCGTCACTGTAGACAATCCCGCGTCCCACCTTCTTCCCAGTACGTCTCCCCATTCTTATATCCATTGCGCGATCTCGCTTGCGCAAAGACTTGCCATTTCTCGATCCAATCCTGATGGCGCCAATGTTCATGCAGATAGAGCATAAGATGCAGTAACAATCGAAGGATCCCATGATGAATGATCAAAGTCGTATGAAACACAAGCTGGTATCAGGATAAAAAGTTGGAACTCGAGCTCTTATGGAAAGAAGTTTGTAGAGTATCTAGGGCGGCACGGCGGGATTATGGGGTCTTCGGATTAGGCGTGCACCCTTGGTGCAACGCCACCAACCCCACTTTGTCCAAAAACGTGGCTGCAGCCTTGCCATCCCCGGACATGATCTAGGCATCCCAAGGCAACACCGCCCAAGTTGCGTCATTCACAAACTAGCTTATTGCGCAAGCCAACATGGATTAGTACTTTCCAGAAATGCATTTGATGCCACAAACCATCTGACCACAACCCATTACCAGGCTAGAGACACGGGATAAAACGAAGGCCGCAATGGGGTAATTCTATGATGGGATGCAGGTTGAAAAGCATCCGCCGCCGCAGCGTTTCTTGGATTCTTTCAATTCGAGAACTCTATAGATAGGATCGTGAGCCTTGACCCATGACAACAAAAAGAAAGAAGATACCAAATTATGGTGGTAGGTATCGATAGCGGAGCCAACGAGAGCTCGGAAAAAGAACTCACGATTGTGCATCATGGAACTCATCGTCCTCCTGAGTCTCACTATCGGTCCTCCGCAGGAGATCGTCCTTTCGTGGCTCTGGTTCGGGGTTGGAATTAAGGAGTTTGCTGGGAGGCAGTTCCTTGGCGAAGGCCTCACGGTTCTCGGGTGAGATCGCACTAGGTTGCGAATAGGGCTTTTCGAGAGGTGGCATGGGTGGGTTGCTAGGATTGCTGGGGATGCTGCTGTTTTTGAAAGGCGGGGCATGAGTCGATGTTCCGTCGAAGTTGCTGGGAGGACCTACGCTCTGCTGTTCGTGTTGTGTCACTGGTTGCGACTGCACGCTTGTAGGCTCGGACGGTACTGGCTGCAACGTTTCCGTAGACTGTGCTGACTGTCCAGCGGGCACAGGTTCCGCTAGTTGTACAGCTCCTTGTGCCTGTGGTAGATGCGCTTCACTCGCTCGCGATGGGATGTTGAATTGTTTGTCTGGCTTCTGGCCCGGGAGGATCGCGTAGATCTGCAGGATCTGCTTGACGACCTCGTCAGGTGTCTTGCCATCACTACATCCTGTTAGCACTAAACGCATACAGAGGGCTTGCGGGGTACTGACATCTTTGCATTGATGATCCAGTCGAGGTCTTCTTCGCCCTCTTCGCTGCCGCCACTGCCGCCTTTTACGCGTCTGAAGAGCTGCGGGTGCCAGTCCACACCCTCGCTGTTTCTTTTCGCAGCCTCCTGCCTTTGCATGTCTTCAATCTTAGCCTTGGCATCGGTCGCTACGTCCTGGTCTCTCCGCTTCACAGCCTCGGTCACATCGTGCCAGAGCTTTTGCGATTCTCGGTCGTTTTGTTCCTCGAGAGGCCGAGCCGACGGTGGGGTATGTTTGGTATGTGCTGCATCGAACAGGAGCTCCTTTTTGCCAGTCTACAAATGGTCAGTACATGTTCTGACCCTGCAAGAGTGAGAACCTTACTGTCAGATCCTTGATGTACATCTCCTCGTTCCACTGGCCCGAGAGCTCGTAGAGGTTCTTGCCGCTGGAGTCTTTGATGTAGCCACCGATAGCGTTGTAGGATCCACTGAAGTAACCCTTGGTCTTGAATTCGAGATCGGCAGTGAGACCGGTCTCGGGGCAGCGAATGTATGCGTGGTCGCCAAGCTCGTACTTCATCGTCCCGAAGAGGATACCGCGCGCGTACATGTTGGGTTGAGTGACGAAACTACCTGTCGTGAGCCTCAAGCTGTGGTGTTCATGCGCTAGACTTACAATCGCTCGCCGGTATTTAGTAGCCGCAGAACTGCGATGCCCTCCATCATACTCGCCGCGGAGTTGCCGAGGAACTTGCTGCGAGGCTTGAGGGTGCCGTCTATGCGGATGTTGTGCTCGGGGGCCATGAAGAAGTAGCTCGACTTGGGCGGGTGGTGCGACGTCTGTTCGGAGATGTAGTAGCCCTTGGTGCCATCCGGGTAGTCCCAGTAGCCTGTGAAGATTTCACCCAGGATGGGGTTGAGCGGCTTCTTGACTCCCCTAAGTCACATCAGTTGTTGCTTGTGGGCGCAAGAAGAAGGCGGAGATGCATACGGGGGCTTGATGTGCCAACCACTCAGGTAGAACTTTGTCACTGCTACGAATCGCTGTACGGGGTCTTCCACCTTGGTTATAGGGAGAAGTGTCTCCGGATGTGCCATGAAGCTGCCTGATAGTCAGCCTATGCACCCGTCGCCAAGCCTAGATGCGCTACACACTTTGTTATGCGTTCCAGCATCGACCGCGGTTCAAGGATGAAGGTAGGAAGCGTGACGCGGCTCAAGTCGGCGCCGGGTCGCAGTTGGGATATGATGTGGGAGAGCATGCTGCCCTGCTCGGAATCCATGACGGTCTCGTCCTCCTTGGTCGTCTCGTCGCCGCCCTCGTGTCGTCGTGTCTCGTCTATGGACGACCCGCGGCTACCTAAACATTCAAACTTGCATCAGCTTCGGTACGGCCGGAGTTCGGGAGATGACGCACTGGTGAGCGACGACCGCCGGTGTTTGGAGACTATAGGTAGGTGCGGCATGGTGAATACAGGCCGCAAAGGGAGAGAAAGGGAAAAGTGGTGGAGGTGAGGCGGGCAGAAGCAGGCAGCGAAGTACCGGCAGAGGATGTCTTGGTGCTTCGGGTGCCGGCGAGGGTGAGCTTAGTCGCAGCAATGACGATGGGGGCTTCACAAAAACTAGCGACCCCGCGCGTTGGACCTGTTTAGCAGCAAACTGTAAACATCGACAACGCTGTACCGTGGAAGGGCGTGCAGTGAGGGGTCCAGGGCGCCAGGCGACACAGCATGCAGTCTTTTGAGCATCCAGCTGACTGGCCCTAATATAGCGATCGCCAGGCTGTGTTCTGCAGGCCTGCTGCCCCATGCCCCGCAGTCGGCACATGCCAAAGCGCCGCCATACATACCAAGCACAGTACGCGACACGCGCATGCGGCACGGCTCGGAGCACGACTATTCTTCCGAATACCCAGGACCTGCGATTCCAGGAACAGTGCCACCAGATACAGTGGGGGCCGGCCCGGATGTCGCGCGATGATAATCTTGAATGCTACGCGTCCGCATTCCGGGAGAACCGGGCGCGAGAAGGATTCATGGCGATGACGTCGCTGTCAAGGGGTGCACATCGCCAAAGATCTGACGAGACACCTTATATTCGATTACTATCAGACGTTCATGACTGTCGTCTAGTCCAGCACACTCTCGCCGGCCCTGCTTGCATCCTTCGCGCCCTGGTCCTGAGTCCGCTGAATTTGCTCCTTGACCCTCTGGACCTGTGCATCATCCTTGGCTATAACCGTCACTCCAACCTTCTCGTACTCCTTGTGGACCTCCTCCATTGCTGACGGATCGACTGCCCTTGTCGCATCGCCGACTACCCATGTTTTGAAGCCCTCCTTCTGTGCATCGATCGCAGTGTACTTGACACAGTAGTCGCCTGCGAGACCGACGACAAAGACGTCGGTGATCTCGGCCTTGCGCAATGTCTCTGCAAGATCGCTCCTGGCCACAGATGGGCGCTTGAACGGATCCGCGAACGCAGAGTACATCTCCACGCGCTTGTCCTGGCCCTTCTCGACGATGTGGTCCACCCTGCCGACGTCCAGTTCTGGCAGCAGCTCGGAGCCTTTAGTGCCCTGCACGCAGTGGTCTGGCCATAATCGCGTTTCCTGCGTCTCGTCTGGGTTGTTCGGGTTCTTGATGGTGAAGGTGGATTCGAAAGGCTTGTTGTTCGGCGGAGAGTGGTTCGAGGCGAAGGAGACGTGGTCTTGGGGATGGAAGTCTTTGGTCGCGACTTTGAGAGCAAAGGGATATGTGAGGAACTCGTTGATGGTCGGGACGATGTCGCGTCCACCTGCTACTGCGAGCGCTCCGTTCTAAGCTTGTTAATTCGGAGACACCCATGCGAATGGTGGGTGCTTACTGGCGGGCAGAAGTCTTCCTGTACGTCGACGATGACGAGCGCTGGTTTGAAAGACATGCTGGGTAAGTAACCAAAATTATCAAGTTAGTGCGTTAGTGGGTGAAGATGTCTAGAGTGGTCCCAAGGTTGAGAGCAGAGTAGCGAAGGCTGTAAGGTAGAGCAGTCGTGCGTAGCACCGTCTTATAAATAATCACCAATGTCTAAGATCAATGCAGCGTAGGTCATGATGCTGCAGGTGCATGGCGCAAGCCGTAGAAACGAGCCGTTGATGAATCAACGATCGCAGACCACGAGGCAGAAGCTTGCCAGCAGCGTCACCAGCGTTCTGTGGCTTGCCTTACCTAATCACAGCGCCAAGCCGTCTGCCGTCGGCTCGTCAATTCACGACTGACGAACATCACCAGCTCGATAACCACGCCCACCCTCTCCACTCCACCCCAATCGTCCCGCCATGTTCGTCCAGCGCTCTGCTATCGCCGCAGCAAGGCGTGTGGCCCCCCGCGCCATTGCGACCCGCCGCACCTTCACCACCACCTTTGCCCGCTGTATGTTTCGCGAGGAGCTATCGTACGATGTGCCATTGACACCATAGCAGGGGAGTCCACCGAGAGCAAGGAGGCCAAGGAGAGCAACATTGCGCAGAAGGAGACAGGTCACTCGGCCAACTCCCCCAGCGTCCTCGCAGGCTTCAAGAAGCTCGACCGTATGTTGCGCCCGCACTTCGTCATCCGCATTGCCGCGGCTACGATAGGCCAAAACCATCAATTGCTGACGAGTTCACTTCTGTAGAAATCAAGACCGAGGAGGACCTTCTGCCCCCTGGTGCGCAGCCCGGTACCGTTCCCACCGATGCCGAGCAGGCGACCGGTCTTGAGCGTCTCGAAATTCTCGGAAAGATGCAGGGTATCGATATCTTCGACATGAGGCCATTGGACGCCAGCCGTCTCGGTACGTGATGCCGCCCCCGGAAAGATCAGGAAAAAAGAGCTTGCGCGAGTTT